TGCAGGAATAACAAGTAATATGCAACAAAAAATTAAATCCAAATGACAACTAATACGAAACGAAAAAAATATTAATATTTGCTAACATGATAACGAAGTGATAACAAAATGAAATATCAAACCACTAGTTTCAAGCGTATTTTCCCCTTCTTCCATTTCAGATATGTTAATTAACATTTTTGTTTCTTGATCCGAACATAAAATCTCTAGATTTGATGTTGATTTCTTTATAAGAAATATTGGATTTTGGTTCAAAATTGTTCTTATGGATGTAATGTCTATACATTTTAATTGAATTTATTTCTCTATCGTTGCTTTTATGTTTATGAGCTTAATTTCCGGTTCTCCACATGAATTAGAAATCACAAGATTTGCATAAGCCTGAAAAATATATACAACTAAAAACCAAACTTGTGGAATATTTCTTAAGTAACAGCAAAGCTTATTAAATGTTTGGATTGCTATTTGCTATTCAACACAAGACAAGGTATCAATCCATCAAGAAAGATCTTACGTTGCCAAAACGTTCTTTGGCTTGCCAAATTTTCGATTATTTGGTTTGTAGTTGTGAGGAGAATCAAACTCGAGTTTCCGTATTTTCTGTATGTTTTGTCGGTATGATTTTTTTTTTTTAAGTTTGATTAACAAATCATGCTTATGTGTTTAGGAGTTTGCTATCAAGCCTAAAACCTAACCAAGCTTCTTAATTAGACTCCAAATTGAGCTTAATATGGTATACTTATTCTTATTTTTTTGTTTGGTAACTACACTCTATGTTCTAGTATTCAATAACACATGCGTTTGGTAATTAAGAAAACAAAAAAATTAAGAAAACAAAATGCATGAAAAAAACGTGACCGTACCTTTTTTTTTTACCACTGAGATAATCCTAAACCGAAACCCATATTAATCTCCAGTAAAAAATTGATTTCACTTGTCATTTAGAACATCTAAACCAGACAAGAAAAACTACAAAAATTTAATTTTGTTGTATTTAGTGTATAAGATTGACTATGTTGAAAATTTTTATATGGAGCAATACCATTTTAATTATTATTCAAATTATTTTCAAAGATACTTTAGAAACTTGATAATTATTATATCAAATTGTGTAAAATAGTTTTGTTTACTCTTTTAGTACTAACCATATATGTGTACACTGCTTATTCTACTCTTACTTGGCAGTTAGAGGATCCTTTGTTCAATACATGTTTCTGGCTGGGTAAATTCAAAGAAACGCAATAGTTTTTGGTTAAAAACGTAATAAAACTAAAATATAGGGAATAAAAAAAGAAAGAAAAGAAATGGATCCGGCTCCAACTGTCTCCTGCTTCTACCCCTTCTTCCTGAGAAGAGGAACCCTAGAAATTTTGAGTCATGAGGGGTCTGATTACCGGCGCGAAGAAGCTATGGAACCCAGCGTCAATGGCGATAACCACCGCTACTTCGATAAGAAGCTACGGTGTTATACCGATGGTTATTGAGCATTCGTCGCGAGGCGAGAGAGCTTACGATATCTTCTCTCGATTGCTCAAGGAGCGTATTATCTGTATCAATGGTCCAATAAACGACGATACGTCTCACGTCGTCGTTGCTCAGCTTCTTTACCTCGAGTCAGAGAATCCTTCGAAGCCGATTCATATGTATCTTAATTCACCAGGCGGACATGTCACTGCAGGTAGGCTTTTGCTTTCCTTCTTGTTTATCGATATTTCTGGTTATGCTCTCTCTGGGAATGTTGCCGAATCCGATTGCCATGAGTTTGATTTCAATGTTGTTCTGCTCGATCTATAATCAGCTTGATTTTACTCGCATTTCGAAGTCGATAATAGTGATTAGAAAAACTCAGTGGATTCATGGAACGAAATTTCTGGATTATAGGATTTTTGTTGAAAATTGGATAAATCCTCTTCTTATTGGTATGTTCCCTGTATGTTGATCCATTATGGTTATCTTCAATTGCAGGTCTTGCGATTTATGATACTATGCAATACATTCGATCTCCAATAAGCACGATTTGTTTAGGCCAAGCTGCGTCCATGGCTTCTCTTCTCTTGGCAGCAGGTGCCAAGGGACAAAGACGGTCACTCCCAAATGCAACCGTCATGATTCATCAACCTTCAGGAGGATATAGCGGACAAGCTAAGGATATTACAATTCACACAAAGCAGATTGTTCGTGTTTGGGATGCTTTGAATCAGCTGTATGTAAAACACACGGGGCAATCAATCGATGTGATTCAGAAGAACATGGATAGGGATCATTTCATGACTCCTGAAGAGGCCAAGGCGTTTGGTATAATTGATGAGGTAATTGATGAAAGACCGATCGAGTTGGTGAAAGACGCTATTGGAAATGAAAGCAAAGATAAGAGTTCGAGTTAGGAGACACTGGTAATCAAAGTAATAAACAATATCCTCTCTTTCTCCTTTTTTGCCAGTTTTGCTTTGTGCTCCTGTTAGATTTCTATCCAATTGATGATGATAAGCTCTGCAGATGGATAATCTCGCAGACCCTTTTATGTGGCTATATCAAATCCATTCTTAATCTGTTTTCGGTTTAGGTAAATGGCTTACTCGATAATGAATGGTTTGGGGTCCTCCATTCCAATTGCAGTCTCATCAATAACAACTATAGAATGCGTGTCTCGCCTAGTCTTAGAATGTCCGAATGCAGTGTTGTTTGTTGTCCGTGATCATCTCTTCTCCATGCCATTATGTTAAACTCTTTTCTCGGTAATCTTTGCTCGAAGTTTTGACCACCATCAGATTCTCATAGACATTTCTTGTTTTATTGATATGTTTGAGATCTCTGGACTCATAGGATTTACTCTTTACCCATTGATGTTTTAAGAGTATGCAAAAATAAGTATAAAGACAATCTCAAGGTCTCTGCTTTCTATTGGCAGTCTGATAATCTCTCTTTTAAGTGTATGAAGTATGAACTTAAGACATAAATTTTGATTTTTCTATGAAAAAACAAACATAAGTAATGATTAGCAATCAAATTTATCGTATTTTGTTAAACTACATGTTTGTTTATTTCTGTAATATCAATATCTATACCATTGTGAAATGTATATGCAATTTTATTTTAAAATTTTAAGATGGGATCGTGAAGAGAAGAAATGACATGACGATTTTGGATTTTTTTAGTTTATGAAAAATTAATAATTTGTCTGTATATATCTCTTGTTAGGACGTGGCAATAAAACTTAGGAGTGAGATTCTATT